GACACTAATTTTTCATCAGAGAAATGCTGCATGTAGAGCTGCCGGGCTATGCTACAGTCAGAAGAAGAGAACAGATTCTTCTCTCTGGCAATGCCTAAACTCTAAGCAGGAAAACAGTCTTCCTCAAAAGCAGCAAAAGGTACCTGATTATAGAAAAATTATGCGCTATTATATATGTGGTATGGTGAGACGGCTGATTTCAAAAGGCTGCAACAAGTCTAGTATATCCAAAAATTTTTAAAAAGTATCAATATTTAACTCAGAGTACGTTTTAAAATGATCTTTCATGAATTTCTTACCACTCCAATGAAAACTCTGAAGATAAATTTATGTACATCATAGTGCTACAGAAGTCGTTTTGGATCGCTCCCAAACCATCCCCCACCCACAATTCCTTGATTTTAATGGGGATCAAGTTTGAATTCCTCAGCTGGTGTTAAAGTCTAACAAATCTGCTGCATGTTAAAAATCAATGGCTCAAAACTGGTCCGCACCAGCTCCAGAGCATCAAAAACAAGTGTGCTCCGTGCCTCCAACCTCTTCCCACTGGTTATTTATGTAAAATATAAAATTGTGATTTTGCTAAAAAAAAAAAAACAACAAAGATTGTTAGGAAAAGTGCCCTTTTAAATTAACCTGGCTACTTCACAGAATTGTAGCTACCTGAATGATGTTTTTCTTTTTTATTTATTGTGGCATCAGGAGAGTAAATTGAGCTGCTTCATAGAGTTTCCCCCAGCATTCTTACGGGGAAAGAAACCACTTCCACAAGTAGGGATGTAAGATAACTGCCACAAACTGACAAATTTCAGATTGTGTAGTAGTTTTAATTCTGAAAATGTACTTTTTGACTTGGGTAATTTTGTTTGGGGAATGAAAATTAGATGTGGAACTCTAAGACTGCCAGGTTTAGCAAGTTTCTCAGTGGTGGAAGAAACAATGTGATGGGTGTTTTGGATGGAATTCTTTATTGGGTGCTGCTATCCCTGCCATGCGGGATGTTACCATTTTTGGCACTGGGCATTAAATATACCATCAGTCAGCATGACAACCCAAATATACCCCAGCATCCCCAAACACCATTAGGTAACAGCGCTACTCCGGTTGAGAACCACAGTAGGGTGCCATCAAATAGTACATGGTCAACTTTATGAGTGAGGGAAAAAAGATGAAAGAGTAATTATATTTTCAGTTTTATGTCTCTGACAATTATTACTACAATTTAGAGTTTCAATTCTCATTTTGAATCTTCAAATTTCTCTGTTTCTTTAACTCTTCTCTTGGTAAATGTACATTTTTGTAAGTCAAATAATTGGAAACAAATTCAGTACCAACAATTTGCCATTTCGAAAACTGATCTGATATAGAGGAAAAACTGATGGTTGCTAGATGGGGGCGGGGCGGATGAGGGAGAAGAGGAAGGGATTAGACAGCATAAATAGGTAACTACAGTATTGCCACAGGGATATGAAAGACAGTTCGGGTAATACAATTAATAATGCTGTAAATATTTTGTAGGGTATCAGATGGGCACATGTCTTGTTAGGGATACCACTTCATGTATGGTGTAGAATCTTGACCACTGTGCTGTACACCTGAAGCTGAGGCTGAATAATATTGTATGTCAACTATAATTTAATATACATATAGTCACAGGATATGGAGTATAGTATAGGGAATAGAGTTAGTAGAATTGTAATAGATATATACGACATCAGAGGGGCAATAGAATGGGGGAGGGGTTATCACTTTGTGAGGGGTGAAATGTATAACTATTGCATTGTTTTGTATACCTGAAACTAATAAAAAAAAAACTGATCTGAAAAGTGAATTAGAAGATGCATAATTAACATCAGTATCAGATTTTCTGCATATACTTAATAACCGTTTCTTTTTAAAATTAATAAAACTATTAGAGTTTAAAGTCTTCTAATCTTCACAGAGTGAGACCACTTCAAAATTCTACTCATATAATTCATATTTTAGGGATGTTCAAAACACTAGAAAGATACTGATTTGGAACAGAAGGTGAATTAGCCAGTGCCATATGGTAACTAACCATAGCCTAATTCTAGGTGGAAACAATTTCAAGCTTATCACTGAGGTTATCAATCTTCTGTATCTTAAATCCTTGCAATTTCTAGATGGTAAAGCATTGAGCTATATAGCGACCATCTCTGGAATATTGGTGAGGAAATGGCAGCAATGGAAAGATTAGAGAAATATTACCTAATTAATGGTAGGTCTAGGTCTGGGTACAGTCCTATTACTTTTCTCATTTGGCCCTAGTTGGCTATTTTTATTAATGCAGCAAAGCTTTATGTATAATCATAATAGATTTATATGTAAAGAAAAATGTCAGTTTCATTCAGTCATATGTCTTAAATTTACTGCTGATATTCTTAAATGACAGGCAAGTTTTACATTCTTACATAAAAGTGCACAGATCCCAAAAATGGCCCACGGTTCCCCTTAACAGTGAAGCCTTTCCTGACTCACTTTAAAAACGGCAAAACTCCCCATGTGCCTTATCCACCTTCCCCGCTTCATCTCTGAGCATGCACTTATCAAATGTTTACTTACTATATGATACATTGGTTTTGTTTATGGTTGATCTCTGCTCTCTAGCATGTAAGCTCCACAAGTGCAAAGATTTTTGTCTAGCTGTTCCCTAGAATAATACCTGGCACAGAGAAGGGACTCAATGAATATTTGTGGAAAAAATCACTTTATCTTTGTCTGGTAAAATGTGCAAGAGGCTTCCAAACTGCCCTCTTTGACTCTCTCCTTCACATTGCTAAGCCATAGTGCCCCAGGGCATGGTGGGAAGTCAAGAATTGAAAACTGTCTCTTCTGCTCCACTCCAAGATTTTCTGCTTGAGTGGTTTGGCTTGAGTCAAGGAGTGCTTCTCTGTCTGATCACAGACAGGATGCTCATTTATACGTGTGTGCCTATTTGTCACCAGCACTCTATTGTGGTGTGCATGTATATGAATCTATGTTTGTACAGCCGTAAGACCCATATCGGTATGCGGGGAACCCATTCTCTAGGTGAAAATCTTACCTACTATTTCTGTGTTTAGTCTGTGGGTGGTAGCAGAGTGTGCAGTCTTTAAAGAGCAACAGAATAAATCTGTATACTTCACATTCTATGCATATACTCTTGATTTTCCTGAAAGCAATCCACTTTTAATTTCCTCTCATACTACTCAGCAAATATCACTTGAAATTGATAGTTTAGTTTTCCAGGTTACTGAAACCACTTATTTTTCAGTGCCTGTTCACCCTCATAATTATAGTAGCGAACATTAACTGACCATTTACCTTGGGCCTGGTGCAAAAGTGTTTTACATGTGTTGTTCGTTTAATCCGCACAACAATCCTTTGAAGTAGGTACTATTATCATTCCCATGTTCAAGATGAGCAAGAAGATACTCAGAGGTCAAATCATTTGCCCAAGGTTGTACAGCAAGCAGATCCAGGGTTTTATATCATGATCTGACTCCAGATCCTTCTATCACTACTTATATAGTGATATAGCTGTTCTACATCTCACACCCAGAACATTTTATTAGTGATTTTTCTCCAAATAAAGCTGGCACAGTGTACTGATCATTTTGTGGCATTTTTCAGCTCTTAATGGGGATGAGAAGTGTGTCATGCTTCAAAATCCAAGAGGCTTTTTGTGAGCAAATAATAGTTGGAAATAATGTTAGATAATATCTATGATGATATCCTTTCTTAAATCTTTCATAAAAAAGAATCACCAAAAGTACTCTGGTGTAATAGTCTAATGGGACTATTTGATGTTACTGCTTTCTAATTTGGGCTGGGAAAAAACTCTCCGTTCTTTTGCCTTTCTTTTTATATAACTACAAAGCCTCTGTAGTTTTTTTTTTTTAACAGTGTTTTATAGTTTAAACAAGGTTTAACAAATACGTGATAACATTTTGAGAATCTCTCTGGCTAGCCAGGTTTTTAAAGCAGTACCTGCAACGACTTTAACATGAGCATTGCTGAGTCAGGGTTCGAAAAAGACAACTCTGGAAGGCTAGATTTGATATAAAAAGGACCCTTCGGTTTGCACTTTTGCCTGAGTAAAGAAAACTTATCTTTGGCGTTCCTTTTGTAACACTTAGTTCCTTCTTTAAAAAAATCTATACATATATTTAGAATCCAGTATTATCAGGCCCCTTTGGAAAATAAACCCTTACTGAAAGTGCACATCAGGTTTATATCAACACTTATGCTGCCTGGAAATATCCCTTTAAGACCATATCTTCCTCTCTGTATAAAATATAAGCTAAACCTTAGGTGATGGTGTGTTGTTAAGAAGCTTCCAGGGCTAGAACTGGTATGAAAGCCTGCGACTGCTGTTTTCAAATTAGTGTATTTCTCCTTCAAATGTACTATTGAGAACATCTCTCAGGTCTTACTTTGAATAGCTGTGCTGTTAGTATTGAAAATTCTTGGCATTTAGGTATTTCTGAAGAAGTATTTGTTAGAACCTTCTTTCATCTAAGTTTTTTTACGGTTAGATTTTGTAGTCACTATCAATTATTTCTGACAAGTGCAGTGTATTTTCCATAAGAAAAAAAAATGTAGTATGTTATAAGAAAATCAAGTGTCAAAGAAGAATTAGGAGTTAAGAGTGCTTGTTCAAAATGCAAGTTTTTTTAAGCAACTGAATAAATGAAATCAAATCAAATCGAATACAAACTATAAAGCATTCATTAAAAAGGCCAGAATACCATTAGTTAAAAAATACTATATTGTATATGAAATCACAAATTTCTATAATCAGGCACCACATTTGCTGATTCATTAAATATACCTTTTTTGGCTTAATTTCCCCCCCATTCTTCTGTAAGCAAAAACAAATCAAAAGTAAAATTGATAAAGAAGTGATGGTCACATAAATGTAATTGGCCTACAAATGCAATACCTGGTTTTCTACCTCCTTACTGGTTTTTGTACAGACTGAGATAACAAATTTCTTTTTTTTTGAACATCTTCAATGTTATCGCTTTACTTTCTGCTTTCATTCACTATTATTATCCATGTCATTATCCTCCTCATCACCGTCATCATCATCATCATCATCATCATCATCATCACCTTCTGACAAGTCAAAATCACTGAACCCCAGGGCCATGTTGACCTTCTTCCCCTTTCTTTTAGATGTGGTTTTGGAAGAATTCTGCTTGGCTTGCATGTTTATCTGCATTCCAGAATGCAGCACAGCTCCTGCTTTGTTCATTGAGAAGATATCCCCAAAGCCCATCAGCATCATGGCCTGCAGACTTGGGTTCATGCCATGGCCCTCCCCGTTACTTGTTGCTGTGATCTGACATGACATCTCTGCACTGTTTGACTCCTCTGTCTTAGATTCAAAGTAAGACTCCTCAGACATTCTTGCAGCAAGAGGCAAGAGAAGCTATCACAAGGGAAGAAAGGACAGAAGTAAAAAGAGAAATTAGGACCAATTTAAATAAAGGAAACAGATACCACAAAATTAGTGGGCACTGCACGGAAGGTAAATGATTCGTGAAGTAAGTGAATGTAGGGAATTATGTGAGAGTTTACTGAATAGCAGGTTTGGTTCCAGGGATGCCATCATTTATAAATGACAGAATAAATCACAACTGAAAGTCTGCAAAGCACTGTAGCAAGCCAAATTTCAAATGGGAAGGAAGTTGCAAGTTTTAAGTCCTCATTTTGCTTAAAACAAAATAGCTTTTAGGATTTCTCGTAATTTTTCCCAATTTCACTTTCACACAGAAACATTAGTTATTGTATTAAAACAGAAATTAAGTAGGGATGAAATATCAAAAATCAAAAGAAAAAAAGCTTAGAGAAAGCATGCAAACAGATTAGCAGTCAATACATGTCTAGGGAAACTTGGGTCATTAGTTACCCTTTTAGCTAGAGTAGTATCCAACTATGAATTAAAAATGAGTCTACAAATTTACTTGTTTCTATTTATTACTTATTACAGCCAAATATAATCCTAGTTACTCAATTTATGAAATAATTCACTTGTGAACAAATTCTAGATTCTGTCTCTAACATTTAAGTTATAAATAAGTACATAAATACATGAAAATTGGGAGAAAGGTAATTACTATTAATTTAGGTTGTTACTTTTTTCTCTTTTCTCTATTGTATAAGTTTCCTTCTTTTAGCAAAACTTTTTTCCTCGAATTCTTCTCTCAGTGGATACAGACAACTATTTTTTTTTTTTTTTTTTTTTTTTTTTTTTTTTTTTTT